CAAACTGTCGTAATTATATAGTTAACAGGATATTTGTTCACATATATATACAACTTTTAAAGCCGAAACAGTAAGGCTGGTTCTATCGTATTAGAAAAGCCTAAAATTCTTGTGGCTTCTGAAAGGAGTTGAATTGAAGTTTTTCGCAGCTATAGATTATATCTGTTTAGGATTAAAATATCCAAGCAATAAACTTACGGTCCTTCACATCAACAGTGATTGCAATTTTGTCAAGTACTGAAACAGCATCCTCCAGAGCTTTATTATAAGCTGCAGCCCATTACAAAGAAACTTGTCAATTTCATTACAGATAATCTATAAAAGAACTGAATCTAGACATAAGCATTATTACCTCGACAAATTACTGTGGGATGATAGTTCTTGTCAATGAAGGCTTCCGCAACGTGAAGCATTTCACCAGCTTCAACATACAAGTTATTCGATGTCAGGAAATTAGTAAATAATTAAATCTATGAACAAAACACAAATAAACATATTGCCAATACGGGCACATTATGCGATTCTTCACTAAGTTTCACCACTAGAAAACGTGCACAACTACAACCTAAAACAGATCTCTATCAGTCATATGAGCTATCCATTTTCCAAAATCGGGATACAATATGATACAATAACCTTATAACAATTGAACTAGATGACAAATTCATTCAATACATACCAAGGACAATCACAGAAGTTGTCCCATCTCCAACCTCCTCATCCTGCGTCCGACTCAGTTCAATCATTGACTGTCGCCATAAACGAATTACAAATTGCAAGTGAGAATTTCAATTACATGTAAGTTCATAAAATGCAAGAACATAATACAATTTTAAGCTACAGTCAAGTAGGAGACATTTCTTCAGACTACTTAAAAGGAGAAGTTGAAGATATAAGAAAAAAAACCATGCAGCGGAGACGTTAAAGATAAAAGAAAAAAGAACATGCCTTTGCTGCTGGGTGAGCAACGTCCAATTCACGGAGAATAGCATTTCCATCATTCGTCACTACAATCCCTGTAATTTTAAGAAAAATAACATTTATTGACATAAAGAAAATTGAAACTTAGATATATGAGAGGAGAGAAATTTGCAGGTGCAGAGCTATCGCATCCTAACATGCAAAGACTAGTTTCCGATATCAACCAAGCTACTAGAACATGAAGTTATGATAGATCTAGAAAATAAAATTTCCCTAAGTTGTGTTTTGTCTTTTGTGCATCCTATACTAGGGCGCACATAGTTTGTGATCATGAGTATTACCTCCAGCAGCATCAAGCAGCATCTTCAACATTGATCGTGGACCCAAAGTAGTGCGTATAATATCAGCAACAGCCTATCAAGGACAAGACGGAAAAAAAATAAAATAAAAAATAAAAAATAAAAATAAGCCGTATAAGGAGACTGATGGGAAATCCAGTGCAGTTGTATGGCATAATAGAAACAAAATATTAAACCACAAACATTATTGACATTTCAAAAACACATTCAAGAAAATTGTCATGCAATGTTCACAAGCCTCTAACCATAGAAGAGATGTTAAGCAGTGGATCTACTACAATTTTAACCCAATATCATTTCTGTTAGTACTTTTCATAATCTACACAACAAATCACACATCCCCTTATCTTCCCTATCATCAGTCATTAATTGTTCAAAAATTCAAAATGCACAGCATGTGTATGTTACTTGAAATATACCCTACATCATCAAGATAGCTAGGTAGTTCATTATCAGAGAAAAAACAAACTTCAGAGTATCACGCGAGAAAATGAAATTCCATATTGGCAACAAAAGGTGATGAGCAGATTCTGAAAAGAAAGAACTCGTCATAATCATTTTACTGCTGAAAATTTCACCTTGGATGCTTGGATATTCGCATGGTGCACCTTGCTTCCAGACTCACGCTTCAGTGAATCTTCTGCTCAACAGATCCAAAAAGTATTAGCCAAATACACAAAGACGTATGCAGAGAATTCGTTACTAAAGCTATACACCAGGAAAAAACCATTTCGAAATCCCTTTCCCCACAAGCACTACTAAACACATTGGTTTCATAATCCCTGTATTTTCTTCATGATTTGAAATTGTCTTAATTCTTAAAATTAAATTGAACAAGTGAAATTAAGCCTTCAAAGGAGAAGAAGCATCTACCCAAGAGCCCATACAATCAGTAAGTGGCAAAATAAAGACAACTGAAAAAGAAAAAAAAAATTGATATTCGTGGATCTTCAATAAATGCTCGAAGATGTTCTAATCACAAACAGTCATACAGAAGTGGGACTTGCTCAGACAACCATAAAAATGCAGGCAAACCCAGTAAAGATCTTAAAACAGAACTACACTGAAATAGGGCTTGCCACTAGTATGCATCTGAATCTAGCTAACTCAATATCGTTTGATTTAAGATCTGAAATGCAGTATTTCGCGAGATGAACTGAACAGAGCAAGTAACGGCGGACCCAGTTTTTGAAACTACGCGTATACATATGATAGTTCAACTCTAAGAACGAAAACGAAGAGGAAACTTACTCAGCACAAGTACTGGGGCATGCATCTTGGTGTTCTTGAGCTTGAGATTTCACAAAAATGGTGACCGATGAGATTTGTATAAAAAGGGCGCTCGCTTATTGAAAACCCTTGAACTCAAGCGAGGGTTTCAGAAGTGGTCTTGTTCATTTGCAAATTGCAACGCATTTATTACGGGAAAATTCTATTAAAAAGGCTTTTTTTTATCAGTAGTGTGTGGTCTAAGGGTAAACCATATAAAATACTACCTCATGTTCATTATAAATGTCGTTTTGACTTTTTTGATTCATCTATTTTATTATGTATCTATACATTAATATGTCTAGATACATATTAATGTCTAGATATATAATAAAATGGATGAATCACAAAAGTCAAAACGACATTTATAATGAATAGGAGGGAGTAATAACTAGTACGTAGTCCCTGCAATGCACGGGACAAAAATATTAAATGAGTCATTTCCATATAGGTTTCAGTTAAGTAGCTCGTGCGATTCACGGAGATCTTAAATGAGTGGGGCCATAGGGCTTTTCCTTCTCAGGCCTAAAAAATAATAGAGTTTGATCATTTATCTTTTTACCTCTTTTCATCGTCATTGTTTTTTTGTCGGGACATTAAATCTGAGCATGTTGGCGCTAGCCATAAATTAATTAATATATTATCTCGCTCACATGTTTATAATAATATAAATTTGATTTTGTTATATATTTATTTCTTGATATAAAAAAAAACAATATTACGTAATCTTGTTCCCCATATAGTACTTATATTATTTTATTATAAAATCTATTGTGATATAATGTCATTATAATTATTTATACATTATAGATGTAGACTTCCTCTTTTTTTTTGTTTTATGTAATTAAAATATTTAATGATTTATTAATGTAAATAATTTAAATTAAGTAAATAAATTAAAGTAAAATATTTTGTACAAACATTTTACAAAACATACACAAATGGTTTTTTAGAATTTATTTTTTATAATAAATAAACATCTTTAAAATTCTGTCCTATTATTAAACATCCTTGATATGAAATTATACATGAATTCTCTGCAATTATTAATTCCGTCATGGGAAACAAATCATTCAGATGTAACAAAATGATAATGAATTTTAAAATTTAAGTTTTAAATGAGACATGTTTTTACTTAAATTCTATGCAATTATTATTTTGGCCAATTTTATGGCAAACAATTCATTCAGAATTTTAATGTAACAAAATGATAAAAAATTTTAAAAATTAATTTTAAATTTGAAATGAGACATGTTTTTACTCTGTCCAATTTTATTGCAAAACACATCAATTAAGGATGAAATTAATGTAGACCGATTTTTTAGCTATAAATTAATAATAATAATAATAATAATAATAATAATAATAATACAATTGAAAAAATAATAGAAATATAATGCATTAATTGCTTTTGACTTTTCTTCCTACTAATCTATCTATATATTAAAAGAATAACCTTTTAAGGATTCCCGCCAATATTTCCCGCCAATATATGTATATATAATCACCCGCCAATTGTCTTTCATTAACAGTGTCTTAAAACTTAGCAATTGTCTTTCCTGTTTTTTTTTGGTAGATAGGATAGTCAACGGCTGATTTATTGGTATTTATTGGGTAGATAGGG